AATTTTTAGAATTACCTTTAAAGCTCTAACCTTTAAACATAATATAGTTTTAACATGTTCTAACATGAACACTGTTTTAACATTCTATCATTGTTTTGACATGAATAAAATAGGTAACTTTGACAGTTGCTGCTTTTACAAAATACAGGATCAAAAGCTTTGAAAATAAATCTAAGTTTTAACTTATTTTATCCATAGATTAAATCACATCAAAAGAATTAAACCATGTTTTTCTAATTAACTGACTTAAAATGAATTCCAAGCACACCGCTTTACCTGAGATAGGCTGGTTGTTTTCATCTCTGTAAGCAAGTCAAAGCCGTGTCTTACTGTCACAGCAGGCTGGCCTGCCAATAAGCCTACTCTCATGATGGAGAGTCGAATCCGCGTTAGCCAGTCCTGACAAGTTTGGCGATTGGTATAGAAAAATGTTCTAATGACCTTTACAATAAGAGAAAGAAAAGCTCAGGATTGGTTCAATTTATACATATGGTCATCTCACCTATATATAAACCAAATACACAAGTCTATTGTGATTTCAGCTCTGCACGTACTACCAGTTGTTACCGTTAAACTGCTACAAAACAACACTATCTTACGGACACCAACCTTGGGAGGTGATGTTAATGCATTAGCACATCCCTCGTATGCATTATACATTAATTTCTCCAGATTTTCCAGATACTGCAGAAGAAGAATAAGTCTAAGTTGGTTGTTACCATGCCCTTCATCATTGTCTGCAGTTGTCCACTGACTAACATCTTGATCAGGGTTTAATGTGTGAGCTGCGAGACTTCGAATGATACCTGAAAGCAAAGACAAAATTAAGAATTTTTTAAAATCTTTGAGGTTTCTAGAAAAAATGTGAATTTTTATGACAAATCCACATTTATCAAGTATCCTCTGTCTATCCATCATTTAAAAATAAAAAATCCCAACATGAAAAATCTTTTATCTTTGGGGAAATAAATATATATATTTTCTCCACACAACTCCCGTAAGTTTTACGGAAAAAAAAAAAAAAAAAAAAAAAAAAAAAAAAAAAAAAAAAACACATATCCAGTGCAATTATTCAATGAAAGCTTATTCTAACAAACATACCTGAAAATTACTGACTTTTTTAAAAAAAATAGTAAGAATAAACTCTCAAACCTTTAACAAAGATTTAAAAATCCATTACTTCTTAATAAGGCTTTGAAAGTATTCACATCACAAAGTTTGAGTGAGTTACCTTCGATTGTCTGGAAGGTGTCTTGAGCTCTGCCCAGTGGGGTTCTCAGCTTAGAAAGAACAGTGAATTGTGCAGCTTCCCATATGGCCCACTGCCAAAGGACAGCATCTGTCTTGAGGAGATTGCGTGGAATTGTTGACTGGTCACGCTTATCTAGTCTCTGGCAGCTATAGAACAGTCTTTCCAACCAATTGTCCTTTCTGGGAAAAGTAGTTTCATATTTAACAGACAACGACAATTTTATTTTAATTTTTAAAAAATTGCAAGGGAAATGGGAATAAGGGACTGTAATTTTCCCTACACCAAAAATGTAAAGCCTATGAAATTGAGAAGTATATATCTCCACCTCTCATTTTGAGGTCTTTTACAGTTCACAGGATGAGGTACAGTGCAGAAGGATGACTAGG